AGGAGGACTAACCTCTGTCGCTTCCAGTCGCGGAAGAACTCTCCTCTCTCAAGGCAAAGATTGAAGCATCGAAGCAGAATCTGGGGTGAAGTGTCGATTACCAACTTTAGGATCTCGTTACTTATCCCATCGATTCCAGGCGCCTTGCCTGTTTTCAATCTTTTGCCTGCTTTTTGCAGTTCACTAAGTGTGAAGAGTTCTTCCTCTTCGACTTTGCAAAAACTCCAGTCCCTTCTAAGGTATGGTTCCGCAGGAGGAAACAAAGAATTTATTATCTTTCTGACCCAATCGGGATTGTCCAGGCCGGGGGTCTTTTGCCTCGTCGCTAATTTCTTAGTAACGATTTTAAAAGCCAGACCCCATGGGTCCTTATCGACTTCCTCGATTAGGTCCTTCCAGCTATGGCGTCGCGACTTGCGGATCTCTTTCTTGAGGTTCTTTTTTGCCTCCTTGAAAGCCTCTTTTAGCAAGGGATCTCCCTTAGATCGGGTATATGTCCTTCTTGCTTTGAGGCATTCCTTCCTCAAGGAGGCTAGCTCCTCTGACCACCAGTGCAAGGATTTTCTTACGGGAATGGCGCCTTTGCGTGGTATTGACGCATTGCAAGCGGTGACTATCATGTTTCTCACCGCTCGCACCTTCCCATCCAGACTGCTCGGCCTTTTCACCCAGCCCAAGTCCTCAATCAAAAGGGATTCTCTTAGGGACCGGCCGAACTTTTCCTTGTCGAGTCTCTTCATATTCCACGAGGAGGTTTTGCGACTAGGAACATCCTGTCTTTTTTCTCCTCGTGTGCTTCCCATCGAGACTGAGAACTCAATGTACTGGTGGTCACTTGCGGTATATTCCTCTGAGACCCGCCAGTCGCTTATGCGGCTATTATTATTATTATTATTATTATTATTATTATTATTATTATTATTATTATTATTATTATTATTATTATTATTATTATTATTATTATTATTATTATTATTATTATTATTATTATTATTATTATTATTATTATTATTATTATATTATTATTATTATTATTATTATTATTATATTATTATTATTATTATTATTATTATTATTATTATATTATTATTATTATTATTATTATTATTATTATTATTATTATATTATTATTATTATTATTATTATTATTATTATTATTATTATTATTATTATTATTATTATTATTATTATTATTATATTATTATTATTATTATTATTATTATTATTATTATTATTATTATTATTATTATTATTATTATTATTATTATTATTATTATTATTATTATTATTATTATTATTATTATTATTATTATTATTATTATTATTATTATTATTATTATTATTATTATTATTATTATTATTATTATTATTATTATTATTATTATTATTATTATTATTATTATTATTATTATTATTATTATTATTATTATTATTATTATTATTATTATTATTATTATTATTATTATTATTATTATTATTATTATTATTATTATTATTATTATTATTATTATTATTATTATTATTCTTTTCGTTTTGAACGTTTTCTTTTGATATTTCTCTTTGCAATGTTTGTTTTGTAACATGTTATTATTCTTATATTTTTTTCCATCTTTTTTGTTCTTTGTACTTTAAGAACTTAACAAAAAAATATTCCCAGGTGAGAACTGACGCTGGGTTCAGGCTTTACGAAAGCTTCGTTGAGGCTTGGTCAACATTGATCAAGCCTCGGTGGGACGGCGGAAGCAAGGTTGCTTCTAGCCATAATGTAACACTTATTTATGACTGACGCTCCAGTCCTTGTTGAAGATTGGCGTTCAATGTTCAATCAATGCTGCGGAACCCTAATGCAGGACTGAAACAAGGCTGCTTCCACTGTTCCCAAATTTACGCGTCTCTCGCGCCCATTCAATATAATACGAATATATGAATTGTATATAATATTAATAATAATATTAATAATAATAATAATAATTATTATTATTATAATAGTAATGAATATTATTGTTATTATTTTTATTCATATTATATGCGTTTGTTAATTTAATGGCATTAAGTTACTATTATAATAATTATATTATTATCATATAAATAATATATTACTAACAATAAATGTCATTTGAAATAGTAATATAAAAAAAATAATTTTAGTAAAAGAAAACAATTTTTCTGTTAATCGGTACATTTTTTTCTCGATTTTTCAGCAGACTTTTTAATATTACTTACAAACATATTCACATTTTTTATTCACAACACAACACACAATTTTATTATTAGATATAACGCTTAAAACAAAGAATGAAAAATATTTGCTCGCATGTGGGATCGAACTCACGCACCCCGCCCCTAACGCATACCGGAAGTCCTAAACGCACGCATTTAAACCGCTCGGCCACAGAAGGCTGGAAGGCACCTCGCCTAATCTACTATTTCAATGCCAGCGCCGTATATTCTGTATATACGGCGCGTCACTCAATATTTGTTCAGCATGGGACACCAATGTTCGTCCCATGCTCGATTCAAGACTCGGTCAATCTTGATACAATATTCACTTTCTTTATTACCGTGTGCACTGAACAATATTAAATATAAATATTTATAAATTATTTAATATTCAAATATTTTTTATGATAATTTTATAAGTTAAATAAATATATTTTTTTTTCTTGTACAGTGTCAAATTATTATTTTCAAAGATTAAGAGTTTCGTTTATCTGAAAAAGTATTAGTGAAAAAAATGTTCATTAGGTAGTGATAAATATTTATGCTTAGTAATTTTACACTAGGATTAACTGTTTAGTAAATATTATCAAAAAACTATTTTTTGGCAAACACGCGCAGCTAAACACAAATAACCTTGAAACTCCAGCATTACCAACTCAACACATACGTTAAACTCTTAAGTTGGCAATGCTAAAGTCTCAAGGTTATTTGTGTTTAATCGCAGGCGTTTGACAAAAAATAGTTTTTTGATAATACATATTTACTAAACAGTTAATCCTAGTGTGAAACTACTAGGCATAAATATTTATTACACCCTAATGAACATTTTTTTTACTGAAAATTTTTCAGACAAACGAAACTCTTGGACTTTGAAAACAATAATTTGACACTGAGCAAGAAAAAAATAATAATATATAATTTAACTTTATTTATATGAATCTTATATATAATTAATAATAATAATAAATAATATAATAATAATAATTATTATTATTCTTATAATAATAATAATAATAATAATAATAATAATAATAATAATAATAATAATAATAATAATAATAATAATAATAATATATAATTATTATTATTATTAATTAATATAAATATTATATACTAAATAAATATTAATATTTATTTACCAATTGATATCTTAATGATAATAATTTTTAAATAGTATATAAAATTATCATAAAAAATATTTTAATATTAAATAATTTATAAATATTTATATTTGATATTTTTAAATGCACACGTCAATAAATAAACTGTCAAGATTGATTCAGAATTGAATTAAGATTAGATATTCAAGCTTCACTCACGAAGATTGACCGAGCCTTGAATCGAGCATGGGACGAACATTGGTGTCCAATGCTGAATCAATATTGAGTGACAGTGATATAAAGACTGCTTCAACACAGGGTTACCCACGCTGGGCGTTCAAGACTGAATCAAGCTTCAATCCATCGTCAGCATTGGTCTTTCGCGCCTGGGTTGTGTTAAGTTTTTTTTTATTTTTCTTCTTGTATCTTTTTGTTGTTTTGTATCTTCTACTATTACTTTCCTTAGTGATATTCTGCTATTGCTATTATTATTTTTCTTATTCTTCATCTCATTCCTCTTATTTTTCTTTTTTTCTTTATTATTCGGATTATTCTTTTCATTATTTCTTCTTTCTATTATCCTTCTTTTTCTTCTTATTATTCTGATCATTCTATTTATTTTTCTTATGCTTCTTCTTTTTTTATGTTTATTCTTCTTTTTATTCTCTTATTTTTTCTTTCTTATTATTCTTTTTCTTGGAATATTAATTTTTTTTATTTCTTCCTTTTCTTATCTTCCTTTGTTGTTCATTTCATTATAGTTCTATTTTTTATTTCTTTTGTTTATTTAATTATACTTTTATTTATTTTATTGTCTTTCGAACTTGGAAAATTTATTTTTAATTTTGTTATTCTCTGTATATCAAGTTTAAATATAAAGTATAGGTACAAACTACAAAGTTTACAAAAACTATATACAAAATATAAAAGAGTAAAAAAAATTCCCTAGTAACTTTCGCGCACCCATCTCAAGACAACATCAATTATTATTGGTTCCTGTTATTAAAAGAGGATGTTAACACCAAATTTTATCCGCTTTCGAATAAAACCGTTACAGTTGCCTGTATTTCGTCTAGAAGCTATATAGATATATAGACATTTATACTTTATATATATATATATATAGACACATCCATATATATCTACGTTATTCAAAAATCACCATTGACCCTCTTTTGGTTTAAAACTGATACTATCCTGATTTCACCGAGAGTCACCGGAAATTTGATGTGTAACCTGTCGCGCGTGGATAATTTTCTTCGGACGGGTCGACGACTCTCGTGTTCATCGAAAATATCTTTGCGATTTCTTTCGTTTCATGGACCATTGCCGAAGAATGAATCAGTGAATTGAAGAAACCGATATTTTTCTTCCTTTTTTCTGTCTCTCTAATATTTTCTTAACTCTTATTTTGAAGGAAGAAGAAAACATTTTTTATTCATTTTTGGAGAGATCATGTTTCCAATTGAAAATCATTGTACATCTCACGTATCATATATGCCAATATATCGATGAAAGAAAATCACAGCAATATTATAAACGCGACGAATGGTCAATGGTCAATAAATGAAAAAGAATGATGCTTGGAATGAACTTGAGGCATATAGGAGAGAATGACGGACAGACAGACAGACGAATGGCCGGGTAACCCAGATCGGTTAGTTCAGCCGATTCTCTGATGTTGCTTGCCAGTATCGTCTCGTCCGTCGTAGACGATTCTACACTAACTGTTTTATATGATTCTTCTTCTTTTTTTTAATTTCTTGTTGTGTGCTGTGATTATTACCTTCTTTAGTGTGGCAATTTACTTCAATTAAAAGAAAAGATTTTTAAAATACACTTGAAAGGAAAAAAATTTCTGTCCTTATAAACTCGTGTGTTTTACTATATATATGCATATAGATAAATACTCGTGTTGATGAGGCTCCTGTATACCGCAAGAGTGAGTACTTTCATTACCATGGATTGCGCGATAAATTACGTGAATTTTTTTTCAACAAATTTTTGTGCCAAATATATTTCTTCTATAATTGAATCGTTTATTTTAATATTTATTCATTAAGTAGTTTTGATATTAATTTATTTCTGTTTATTTTTTATCGAAATATTTATTAGATGATTAGACTAGATAATATTTTTTTAATTCTTTTAATTATTATTGCTTATTATTGTTTAAAAAATTAAGACTATGAGAAAAAGGTAATGATAATTGTGCATAATTCCGGTAAAATTTTTAAATATTATTATTATTATTATTATTATTTATTAATTTATTTATTGGTTCAAATTACAAATGTTTAGATTTACAATTTTTTGTTCTAGAAGTTTTGATTTAAAAAAAGTTTTTTATTGATTATTTATGATAAAAAATTTGTTTTTTTAAAGGATTATTGGAATTAACGAGGATTAGAGTCAACGATCGAGTTTAATTGGATGTTCAATAATAGTGGATTTTGGCAAATGATTTTTATTTGATTTTGCAATTAAGGGAATGTTCTGTTTCAAGGAGAACCGAATTTTACAAGATTGGAGTCGCATGAATAACAGGTTTGTATTTGTAACAATTTTACTTTTTTCACATTTTTTTCATTAGTAAATATTAATTAATAAGTTAATATTTAAGCTAATTAGTTAATAAGTACTCTAATTACACTACCGTCGGGAATTATCGGTACGGCTACACGCGCACGGCCCAAAAACATACCAATCTTTAAATCTCGATTTCTTTGTAAATGCGAATGTCAGAAAATTAACAAAGATACCATTCGAAAGATTATTAAATACTACAATTAATGGTACATAACTGAAAATTTTAATAATTTATACAAAGATTGCAGCAATTGACAAATTTGACAAAAAATTTTAAAAATACAATTTTTTTGGAAATTTTTTCAACCCCTGCACATTTTTTAAAAATTGCAGAAAAAATTTGAAACTTATATAGGTGTGATCATTCAAGTCTCATCTTTAATTTAAGATCAAAAGAATTCAAAAATCTTAATCGGTTAGCGAGATATCATTATAAACGGCCGAGCATTTTCAGCCAAAAATCGTTCAAAATCGACTAATTCAATGCATTTGTCAAAAAACATGCTCGAACGTTTATAATGATATCTCACGAACCGAATAAGATTTTTGAATTATTTTGGTCTTAAATTAAAGATGAGACTTGAATGATCACACCTATATAAGTTTCAAATTTTTTCTAAAATTTTTTAAAAATGTGCAGGGGTTGAAAAAATTTCCAAAAAAATTATATTTTAAAAATTTTTTTATCAAATTTGTCAATTGCTGCAATCTTTGTATAAATTATTAAAATGTTTAGTTATGTACCATTAATCGTAGAATTTAATAATCTTTCGAATGGTATATTTGTTAATTTTCTAACATTTGTATTTACAAAAAAATCGTGATTTAAAGATTGGTATGTTTTTGGGCCGTGCGTGTGCAGTCGTACCGATAATTTCAGGCGGTATAGTACTTAATGCTCAAGCTGAATAGTTATTGATTATACATAATCAACTTAGTTAATAATTAAGCTAATTAGTTATTGATTAGGTTAATTAGTAAATAGTTAAGCTAATTAGTTATTGGGTATAATAAATTAGTTAATAGTTAAGCCAATTAGTTATTGGCTAAGCTAATTAGTTAATAGTTAAGATGATTATCTTAACAATTAGTTACTAAGCTATCTGAACTAGATATTGACTAGGCTAGTTATTAAATAATTGAAATAATTAGTTATTGGCTGAGCCAATTAGATTATAGTTAAGGTAATTAGTTATTGGCTGACTAATTATTTAATAGTTGAGCTATTAGTTATTGGCTTGGCTATTAAGTTAATGGTTAAGATAATTAGTTATTGCTTAATCTACTAAGTTAATAGTTAAGAAAATTAGTTATTGCTTAAGCTAATTAGTTAATATTGAAGTTAATTATTTATTTATTTATTTATACACTCGTCTTTTTGCCTTAATACTAGCGTTTACAAGTGTCCCCGAGGAAATTTTCTTACATACTATAAACTTATTAGGAGTATACTCGCATTTGCCTGGACCACCCGTCTAATGGGTTTTCTCGCCAGTGGAGAGGGAAACTGTAGAAAACCTCTCCGAGTACAACCGGTTTATCAACAGTCGAGTTCTAATGGTGTGCACCGGATAATAATCGACGGTGCACATCATTATACTTCGACGTCGAACCTCCCGCTCAGATAATCTCACGTGCCGGAAAAATACCAAGCCAAATGGGCGCGAACCAAGGGTACTTACCCTTGGTCCTTAAACGTCCGCCAAGCGAGGCATCTATCCGACTGAGCTAATCTGTCGGTTATATTGAAGTTAGTTATTATTAGTTAACCTATTTGTTATTAGTTTATTGATTTACCTAATTACTTATTAATTAATAAGTATATTTATTTATTTACTTATTTATTTACATGCAAATTGTGCTTTAACAGCATGTGATTGTTTGGTTCTCAATGGTAAATTTTTTCGACCACTTATCTCTTTAAATATTTAATAAATTGAGATGAAATTTTGTACGAAATTCTAAAATACAATAAAGAAGGCCAATGATATGCAAAAGTTTTAATATTTTTAAAATTAATTATTAAAAATTACTTTAAAATTATCAGTTATCACGGTCACTTCTAATCCATTTCTCGTCTTTACCGATTTCAAAGTGTTTTATTATAATTTATTTTTAATTATTACAACTTTTGCACATCACTGCCTTTCTTTATTATAGTTTAGACTTTCGTACGAAATTTCAGCTTAATTTATTAAGGGGTTACGCCACCCTGAACACATGTAAATTAGACGGTTTTTCAAGTATTTGTTTTTTGCGAAAATATTTAAGATAAGACATTTTTATTTTTATTGTTTTTTAATACATAGGTATTGTAAGCTATAAAAAAACGAAAAAGTTTTTTTAAAAAATTAAAAATGGTGGAGATACGCATTCCAGTGCAGCAGTACATTTCTTGGTGTTGGGCATGATTAGCATTTCAATTTTGATCTGAAATAAGTAAAAAATCATTTTTTATAAAAAGTGATGAATTTTGAATAAAGTGACGTAGCCGTTTTGAAAAAAAAAATTTTTACGTAAAAGGGACCACTTTAAAGTTAGATTTTATTTTTTCAAAAAAATTTAATTTAATCAAAATAAAAATGTCTTATCATAAATGGGTGATTCTCCGCGTAGCGCAGAACTTGGTTTTTTTCATGTTGTAATGGAAAAATAATAAATAATTTTCAAATCTTGGTTTAGTGTTAATAAATATGTGTGCAAAATGCTCACCCCTAAAAATAATATTTGTGGTTGATATTGAATAATTTTTGTACGAGATAATGTTACTTAGTCAATTATAGTGCCATTTTAGGAAAAAATATATTTGAACTATATCGCGTGTAGATTTTTGATAAATGTAAGTTTAGGTAGATAAAGGAAAATGTTTTTTGAAGGGTTGTAAAATATTATAAATTCTTGAAGATAAATACGTTTTACCTGCACTTATAACCGCATAAATATGAAAAAAATAGTGTAAATAAAGTAGCAATTAATAAATATGAATTACGCCGGTTAAAATATACTTCTATTTAGTCGAAGAATAATAATTTATGGTAAAAAAAAATGTGCCACTAATTTGAAAAATAAATTTTTTTACAACAAAAAGTCCCCATTTCGTGAGATTTCCCCATAAACGCACCCTTAACTGAGCAGTTTCTGTGCCTACAGGTTCTTAAGGCCTAAGCAGAATAGAATCTTTAATCGGAACCGCAATCATAACTGTAAGCGTAAGTATAAGTTAGAGAAGGATAAACAATATAAATATCCTTCCCTAACACATTCTTACGCTCACGATTACGGTTCCGGTTAAAGATTCTATTGTGCTTAAGCCTTCATTTGATACTGTGAAGATTTTCTAGCTAGAGAATTTTTTAGAAGTTCGTGAATTTTGTATTTTTGTTGTTTTTTGACGAAATGGGCTGCCCAACGAACTCAGGCTTCATTTTTATGGACTAAAAAAGTGTGCCAAATTGCAAGACGATTCATAAAAATTTATTCGAGTTATCGTGGAGACAAATTTTCCTACAGACAGACGATAGACAGACAGGCGGACAGACACTTTTCTAAAACCCATTTTTTTTGGAATCAGGGGGTCATGAATTGTAAAGATTTAGCAATATTAGACATTGCTCAAAATCGCACAAATCCAAGACTTTCTCATTTTTGATGAGAATGTAAAAAGCAAATTTTACGGAAAAATTAAAAAAAAGCAAAATTTTGGCATATTTTGAGTTCTCTTTTCTTCCTAATTTTGTATATTTACCTAAATTTGTCATCTGAAAAAAAATTAAAGTTTTGACATGTTATTAATGTTTTTTTAATGTTTTGGCTAATGCTTCACTCACTATAAATCTCAATTTTTTGTACTTTTTTGGAAAAAAATTCATAACTTTTTTGTTTTTTGTTGTACAAAAAAGTGTCTCAAGAAAAAATTGCTTGATTTTGCTCAAAATTGAAAGAAAAAAATAAAAAAAAATATTTTTTTTAAAATTGTCAAAAATACAAAATTTTGAAAATATAAAAAAAAATCATAACTTTTTTGTTTTTTGTTGTACAAAAAAGTATTTAAAGGAAAAGTTGTTTGTTTTTGTTCAAAATTTAAGGAAAAAAATAAAAAAAAATATTTTTTTAAATATTGCCAAAAATACAAAACTTTGAAAATTTCAAAATTTTGTATTTTTGTTATTTTTTGACGAAATGAGCTGTCCAACGAACTCAGGCTTTATTTTTATGGACTAAAAAAGTCCCCCAAATTGCAAATCTATTCATAAAAATTTACTCGAGTTATCGTGACGACAAAATTTTCTACAGACAGGCAGACAGACACTTCTCTAAAAACCATTTTTTTGGAATCAGGGGGTCATGAAACGTAAAGATTTACCAATATTAGACATTGCTCAAAATCGCACAAATCCAAGACTTTCTCATTTTTGATGAGAATGTGAAAAGTTAATAATTTTAGTAATATGCAATAATAAATTCAATTACTATTGACATTTTAGTATCGTCTACTTTAGTACAGTTGAATAAAAAAAATTTTTTTTAAAAATTCATTTTATATATGTTTTTTTCAGTTTATGCTTGACAGCAAATTTGGATGCTATTCATTATTTTATTAACAAACAGTAAATTATTTAAATGAAAATGAAATGTTAACTTAAAAATACTTTTGTAAACACAAAAAATAACTTCCTTAAGTTAATTCAGGAAAAAGAATCAATGTTCTAATTGATTTATTCATTTTTCACTCATTTTAAGTTGGAAATTTGATAAGGGAATCACAAAATAATCTCCACCGACCCTTAAATATTTTACCACAAATTAAATAATTATTTATAAAAATGGTTAAATAAAGCGTAGTTATATTGTTTTGGTCAATACGAATGGGATCCACTTTAAACCGATTGAAAATTAATGATACTTTTTTCAAATAATTAAAATATCCGCAAAAATTTCCATAAATTACCGAAATAAAA